CCCTATACCCTATCAACCCTAAACCCTACACCCTAAACCCTATCAATGCCTATCAACCCTAAACCCAGGGGCTTCGGGCTCGCGAGTTGGACGCTGCTCGATAATTCTAGGTCGCTGCAGGGGTTCCTATCCGGGAAGGTCATCCCTAATATGAGTTTTCGAGGGCATCTTTGCTGGCCACTAGCAGCTCCAACTCCCGCAAGGTCCAGAATCACCGTTTCAGGCTTTTTTCCCCACCCGGTTAGCCGACAAAGGTCAAGGTGGCATTGCAGGGAAATCACTCTACACAGGATGATGCAAGTCACTCTATATATATATATATATATCCCGATCTCCCTTACCAGCGAACCAAAACACCATAGGTGCATGATCGGCAGCTCGGAACACGCAGAACTCTCTGAAACTCAATGCTTCTGTTCAGGATTAGGGCTCTCGACACTTCCACTCGGCCATTCAGGGGTTGCTTTAGCGTCACTGATAGCGCTATTGCCCCAGGAGAGAAGACACTGGTCTCAATGCGTGCGTTTGGCCTCGCAAGCTTGGAAAAGGAGATGCGCTTCCCGTCGAAACTGTGGCCTTCAGCTGGCCCAGCAAAAACAGAAGTCGGGGCTCAAGCTTATGGATAATTATAGCCAGAATGGTCGCTGTGGCCTGGCCAAAGCCTCGCTCTGATGCTGTTTTTTTTTTGCAAAATAGCAGCACGGTACATGTGGCAGGTGATGCCGCTAGTACTGCTGGTGGTGGTGCCGGTTGGTATCAGTAGAGTGGCACAAGTAGTAGAGGTCGCCGCATGCGAGTCCTAGTCGTAGTGGTAGTCGTCGTCGTGGCAGTGGCCGTGCTTTTCGAAAAAAGTGGACACTAATAAAGAACCTCAAGGAGTAAGATTTTTCCTATAGGTCTAGGGACCTCTAAATCAAGCACCCCCGGCGTTCCGGAAAAGCTCTGTATGTTCCAATCGCGGCAGGCACTGCTCGATCAAGCCTTGGAGCCGGGACGTAAGGTTCGGCGCTTCAGCCCCCCAGGTTGCAATTGCTATGACTGGTATACTAATATCGGTACGACTGACGCTAGTAGAATTGGGTCGGCTAAACACAAGGAAAGCCGTAATTAAATGTGGGTGTGTGTTGCTTTTCGTCCACTAGCGGATAATAGAAGCTGTGAGTCATCTTATATTGAAAAAGTCTCTTGTTTGACAGTAAAACCAAAACGGCACACTGAGGCAGGCGCGCGATCGCTTCGCCTCAGCTCTGCATCACAGATCCCACCACAACATCAAAGGATGTATGCATGCTGGAAACTTCTCAAGTTGACCGTCTCGCTGAGCCGCTTAGCCTTGCAGAATCTGTTTTCGTACGTCCTAAGCCCTCCACCTTCTAAGCTTCCGAAACTTAACCGGAAGCTTCGCAAGGACCTGCCCGCATTGCGGGTGGTTGGGTCAGCAAGCTCGAGTCGCTCATCTATTTCGGTGCGACCAACGAAAAGGTCAGGCTTGGGTTCCGCTTCACGCAAAAGATGCGAACTCCATCTCAGGCTGCTGTAGGGTGTCGGGTTTATACGGTTTGGGATGGGTTTCGGGTTTGGGGCCTGGTTTTTTCAAGTTGAAGGCCCGAAGCCCACGACGAAAACAGCCTGCACGAAGGAACAACGGAACCCCTACTACCAGGCAACTGGTGCTACGATTGCCAAGATTGCCATGTGGGGCTGGCGGTGAAACTGAATGTGTGAATACAAGTGGCAGATTTTGTCCGCTTTAGTATGTTCATACCACGACTAACTGACTAACCACACCAGTAATCCAGCAGAGTCATCGCAAGCATCGTGCAGCAAGACTCGGGATCATCGTCGCGGAAACACTTACATCCGCCCTTCGCACAGAACACAAGCCACGTCATCCGAATAATGAGCGAGAACTAGTACTGTATATGAGTAGACGAGTCGACTATACAGTAGGGTTTAGGGCCCTCCTTCCTGAGCTGCGGGCTGCCGGGGCCTTGGTCTCCGCCGTGCGCTTTGGCGGAGCGACCGGGAGGGTCGCGGCCCCGTTGGGAGCAGCGCTAAAGGACTCGAGTTTGTCCATCATGGACCTGGTCGAGAGGGGAGGATCATAATCGCCTAGGTCTTTTTTATGTGCTCACCCGGCCGGGTTCCCCAGCAGCACGTCGCGCTCGTGGCGAGATGTGCGCAAAGCTACGTGCGATCTTCACTATCTCACGAGCTGGGCTTAAAGCCCATAAACCCTACATCCTTTTATAGCCGGACCATAGACCCTTTCAGCATGGACCGAGGTTCCGGCCAGCATGACCCTAAACCCAAACAGTGCCAGCGTAGATCCCCAAACGGTGCAAGAGCACGACGACCGAATAGGACCACCAGAACCACCACGACCACTACCAGGGCGACCACGACGACCAGGACAACACGAAGAAACTACCGGGTGGTACTATGTAGGACATGTCATGGTGGACTGCGAACATTTTTGAGTTACAAGAAAACCTGACGTCCTGTGATAAGGGTTCGATTCCGGGTACACGCAATGCTTTTTGCCACAGGGGCGAGAACGCTATGAAGATCCGACGCCCCTGAATCACCCGAGGCGAACCACAGTACACTGCCGCAGAGCTTGGGCCGAAGACAAAGCACCCCAAACCCTATGGGTTTAGGGTTTAGGGTTTAGGAACCCTTTTGCATCCGGTCTGCAGCGACTCTACCGGGAAAGACGTGTATCCCTAAACCCTACACCCCAAAACCCTAAACCCTAACTGCGACCTCGGGATTTCCCCTGCAGCATGCGCCCCGGAGCATTGTCCCTACACAACATTATACGAACCGGCCTTGTAAACACCTATGAGTTCAGGGCCCAACCACTGATGATGCAAGACTTTGGTGCCCGCTCTCAGAAAGATAGCCACAGGATAAACCGCTTGTCTGGTCATTCTGAGGGTTGGAGTTGCCGAGTGCGAGGCTGGGAATCGCTGTTGGGAGGAGTCATCCGTTCTCTTCGCCCGCTGGAGCTGAGGAAAAGGTCCCACTGATAGCCAAAGAGCTGCGGGACTTGGGTCTGGGGGTTCCCGGCCTAGGCTTGGAGCTGCCGCGCGGCGTAGCCCAGGGCTCCGACGACAATGCAAGACAGCTAAACGTAGAGACTAAATTCATCAATGCACATTGAGGTCAGCGGACAATCACCAGAGGACTGCGCAGCTGCGACATTCAATGCCGACGGGCTACAAGAGCAGGCATGGACACTTTTCGGATAGAACTTCCGTAACTTTGAATTGCATAAGGTCTACGGCCGTGCTTGCCGTGTGCAAGACAAGCCAAATCCACACCCCTCGATAACAGGCCCGACTGCCTTGGAGCACAGTTCCACAGTGGAGATGCTGTGCCCGAAAGGGCCAAAATTAAAAGAGTACATCCTAATTAAGAAACAGCCCAGCTTTGCTCAGCGAGAACTGTTCAAAGGGCGAGCCTGAACGGCTCTGTGTAGAAATGCAAAGTGCCTGAGGCTGTGTAAAAATGCACAGTGTCTGCTACGTTGAGCTCACCTACGCCTTGAAAGGGACCGACGAGTGGTGGAGGCAGATGCGCACCTTTCCATCGGGGTTCCTCCTGTAGCCAAACGTGTACTCCACCTTTGTCTTGCTTCCATCTGCTGCGCTAGTGAAGTAATAGTTCCCCATTGCGAGTGCCATGTTGCCGTCCATATCGATCTCGTGGTTGTCGAACACGACATCTGACCAGCCCTTGCCCCCGTTGATGGCGAAGCCAGCGTCCTCAGAATGACCTTTCTCAACTGACTTTCTTCCGACGAAATAGGACATTGCATCCTCGGCAGTCGGACGGAACTGTGCTTCTGCCGCTTTGGTGGGCTTGAACAGGACCTTCGAGTGGCCATAGCCATACAGCTCGCCAGCGGCTTTGGTAGCAACTGCCACAAAGTCGCCCTTGTCAAGGTAGGTCTTAGAGATCGTCTTAATGGCATTGGCCCACGCTGCCTGCGCACTCAGCACATCCTCCTTGGACACGGGGCGGACGTCGGGAGCAGGGCTGAATGGCACGGACGAGTGGTGGAGGAAGATGCGCACCTTCCCATCGGCATTCCTCTTGTAGCCAAACGTGTACTCTACTTTCGTCTTGCTTCCATCTGCTGCACTGATGAAGACGTAGTTCCCCATGGCAGTGGCGGTAGCACCGTCCACGACAATCTGGTGATTGTCGAACAGAACATCCGACCAACCCTTGCCACCGTTGATGGCGAAGCCACCATCTTCTGGAATTCCATCCTCAACGGCCTTGCAGCCTACGAAGTAGGACATAGCCTGGGCTGCCATGGGCCGGAACTGGACATCCTTGGCCTTCGTGGGCTTGAACAGCACCTGTGTGTGACCGTAGCCGTACAGCTCACCTGCTGCCTTCCCCGCAGCTTCCACATAGTCCCCGCCACTCAAATAGATCTTCGAGATCGTCTTAATGGCTTTGGCCCATGCCCTCTGCGCGCCTCTCACCTCCTCCTCAGAAATCTCTGCGACTTGTGCAGGTGGGGCGGCTGGGGCAGCTGGAGCGGCGGGGCAAGGGCTGAATGGCACGGACGAGTGGTGGAGGAAGATTCGCACATTTCCATCAGAATTCTTCTTGTAGCCAAATGTGTACTCCACCTTGGTCTTGCTTCCATCCGCTGCACTAGTGAAGTAATAGTTCCCCATGGCGATTGCTGAGTTGCCATCCACGTCGATGTCGTGGTTGTCGAACACAACACCTGACCAGCCTTTGCCGCCGTTGATGGCGAAGCCACCATCTTCTGGAATTCCATCCTCCACAGCCTTGCAGCCCACGAAGTAGGACATGGCCTGGGCTGCCATGGGCCGGAACTGGACATCCTTTGCCTTCGTGGGCTTGAACAGCACCTTCGAGTGACCATACCCATACAGCTCGCCGGCTGCCTTCCCCGCTGCTGCCACATAGTCGCCTCCATCCAAGTAGGTCTTCGAGATCATTTTAATAGCATTGGCCCAAGCCCGCTGTGCGGCTCTCACCTCCTCCTCGGAAATTGTGGCGGCAACTTTGCCAGTAGCCGGTGGAGAGCTGAATGGTACGGACGAGTGGTGGAGGAAGATGCGCACCTTCCCATCGGCGTTCTTCTTGTAGCCAAACGTGTACTCCACCGTGGCCTTGCTTCCATCTGCTGCACTAGTGAAATAATAGTTTCCCATCGCAATGGCTGTATCTACACTCAACTCGATCTGGTGGTTGTCGAATACAACGTCTGACCAGCCTTTGCCGCCGTTGATGGCGAAGCCACCATCTTCTGGAATTCCATCCTCAACGGCCTTGCAGCCTACGAAGTAGGACATGGCCTGGGCTGGCAGGGGCCGGAACTGGACATCCTTTGCCTTCGTGGGCTTGAAGAGCACATTTGTGTGACCGTAGCCGTACAGCTCACCTGCTGCCTTCCCCGCAGCTGCCACATAGTCGCCTCCATCCAAGTAGGTCTTAGAGATCGTCTTAATGGCGTTGGCCCAAGCTGCCTGTGCGGCTCTCACGTCCTCCTCGGAGAGCGTGGCACCTGCGCTTGCGGTACCGGCGCTAAATGGCACGGACGAGTGGTGGAGGAAGATGCGCACATTTCCATCGACGTTTTTCTTGTAGCCAAACGTGTACTCCACTTTGGTCTTGCTTCCATCAGCTGCACTAGTGAAATAATAGTTCCCCATGGCAATGGCAACTTTCCCACTCAAATCAATCTGGTGGTTGTCAAAAACAACGCTTGACCAGCCCTTGCCGCCGTTGATGGCAAAACCGCCATCCTCCGCAATTCCATTATTCACCTCTGTTCTTGTTGAAAAATCTACATTTTTGCTACAGCAAGAACTGGTTGTAGCTGGGAGCATGGTTTCCTTACATTAAAGCAAGACTTCAAAAGAATTCTGAACAAGAGCCCAGTCACAGC